TTGGGGGTAGGGGGTGACCCTTCACTCTCTGACGTCCTGCCTGCTAGGCTGTGGCCTGCACCTGCTGTGAGTGCTAAATGGGGCGGTGGAGGTGATATAGGTGGTGTGGTGCCCTGATGCCCCAACCCCAGATTCCAGGTCTCCCTAAGAACTCTGACTCTGGTCCCCAGACCCCAGGCTGGGTCTGAACTGGTTCCACAGCCTCTCTTCCTGATTTGAGGTCCTTCCCATTGAGGAGAGGCAAGGCTGTCCTAATACTCTCCTGCCAGGTGTAACCATCCAGCTGCCAAAGCACTACCTAATTCTAGGGACTGGTGGCACAGCTGCCTCTGTAACCAGGAAGGATCCAGACCCACTAGGTGTTTTCTTGGGGCCAGGGATGCAGGAACAAGACCTAGGCCATTTGGGGAGGTGGCATCCGTGTGAAATATACAACTTTGCCTTCCTTCTTTCCCTAGAAGACTTTACCCCCACCTTCAAGGGGCCCATCTAGACAATGTCACATTCACTCAAGCCCCAGACCCCTCTGGGCCTTGCCTTCCTCCCCACGGCCCCTTCCCAGCCCCGCCTTTCCCTTGAACTTGATTAGAACTTGTCTCCCTGACAGGGCCTCAGTTGGGGTCCCATCCACCCTTGAGGTATCATTGCCTGCACCCTTGTGTTATTGTCCTCGGATGAGGCTACCTCCATATCTTTTGAGAGCCCACACTGCCTTAGATACCCCCACTTGTGACCCAGTCCCTATCTCTCACCTCCTGAATGCTCCTCTCCCTCCATATCCACATCCCCAATGGTGCCCCCAGTCACCCCTGGGGCCCTGTGTCCTGCCATATCCTACTCCACCTGACCTTGCCCTTGTCCTTCCAGATGCCTGTGGCCTTTCAGATCCAGCGCACGTGGAGAGCCTACAGGAGAAGGCACAGGTGGCCCTCACTGAGTACGTGCGGGCCCAGTACCCGTCCCAACCCCAGCGCTTCGGGCGCCTGCTGCTGCGGCTCCCCGCCCTGCGTGCCGTCCCTGCCTCCCTCATCTCCCAGCTGTTCTTCATGCGCCTAGTGGGCAAGACGCCCATTGAGACGCTGATTCGAGACATGCTGCTGTCTGGAAGTACCTTCAACTGGCCCTATGGCTCAGGCCAGTGACTGGACAGGACCCGGGGCACGGTGGCCGGGTCTGCAGACCTCAAGGGATGTGGCTGCTCGAGCCTCAGGGGGGATTCCCCAGACAGAGGACTCCAGCCTCTCTCCTCAGACTCCTATTTTTTAAAGACTGTGAAATGTTTGTCTTTTCTGTTTTTTAAATGATCATGAAACCAAAAAGTGACTGATTGTCCAGGCTCTGGCCTTGTCCTCCACAGAACCTCCTGGCCAAGATGGGGGAGGAACTGAGGTTCTAATCCTGGGACAGTCTTGTCCCTCAGTGCCTCAGGCATGAACTCGTGGGATGGTGGGGTTGGTTCCCTACTGTGATGGGCAGAGGCCTGGTGTCGACTGGAGGGGCAGCCGTAGCCAGGAAGGAGTTGCGTGCACCAAGTGGCTGCTTCTGGACACGTGATCCACGTTGGACACTACATAGTGAATGAATCAAGGCCAATAATAAAGGCATTTCCTACCTGCAAACAAAGTTTGTCATTCCCCCCCACCCCCTGTTGATTTTTAGAAAGTGGGAGGGAAGGAGAGAGAAACATGCATGTGATCCATTGGTTGCCTCCCACATGCACCCCAACTGGGGCTGGGGATTGAACCTGCAACCCAGGTACATGCCCTTGACCAGGAATTGAGTCCACAGTCCTTTGATGCATGGGCTGATGCTCTAACCACCCAACATACCGGCCAGGGCTCTGTCATCTTTTGAGGGGAAGGCAGCCTACCATGGGAACCCACTCCCACCACCTGGAAAACCCACAGCCTGACAACAGCCTTGCTTGCTGTCTGTGTTGGATGGTGTTGTAGGGAAACAGTTGGGAGGGGCTGAGGTCAGCCAGTGAGTCTGTAGGAGTTAAGCCTAGCAGATGGCTCAGGTGAAATTCAGACTCTGGCTTCAGAGTGAGCCTCATGGATTCACACATGCCCCGGACCAAACACCTCATTGTTTTCTTTGGCCAGCCCTTAATCATGGCTTCGGGCCCCAGTGTCCTCAGGTAAACCACAGTGCCCAGCGGCAATCGCTGTTCAGCTTGCAGTGCCCAGAAGTGGAAAATTGCAGGGACCCATTTACTTGATTGGCCTTGCGGCCTCCTGAAGGATCCTGGCTGCGCCTGCCCCCTTCAGGTAGTCCCCAGCATTACATCACATGAGTTCTCTAGAAGGCTACCCCAGCAAGACTCTAGGGCAGTGGTTCTCAACCTTCCTAATGCCGCGACCCTTTAATACAGTTCCTTATGTTGTGGTGACCCCCAACCATAAAATTATTTTCGTTGCTACTTCATAACTGTAATTTTGCTACTGTGATGAATCGTAATGTAAATATCTGATATGCAGGATGTATTTTCATTGTTACAAATTGAACATAATTAAAGCATAGTGATTAATCATAAAAACAATATGTAATTATATATGTGTTTTCCGATGGTCTTAGGCGACCCCTGTGAAAGGGTCGTTTGACCCCCAAAGGGGTCGCGACCCACAGGTTGAGAACCGCTGCTCTAGGGTCCTTTGCCTCCATTACTGGACCTGTGGAAACTCCTGGCCCTGGGGCTCCCCAATCACTTGGCCCCTCACTTTTCCCCCAGAAAGGGCCACCTGAGGCTCTGGAGGAGCGGGAGCCCCCTGGACAGATAAGTGTTCATACCACACTTGGAGACCCTGAACAAGGCCATATCTCGGAACCTTCATTTTTTCCCCCCTGCAACATGGAAGAACAATTTTTTGGTGACGAGTGTTAAGCATAGTATATATTTAAGAAATGTTTATTCCATTGGGATTGGGAACAGGACCTGCTTCCAGAGGATGAGTTGAGATCTAGGGTCCCCATGGGGTCAGGGTTGGGGGGCCTAGAGGAGGTCCTGGGAAGAATTCCTGGAGTAGGGGGTCATCAGGACCAAAGCCTCAAAGGCTGAGGCATTTGCAACCAGGAAAGGCTACCCTAGGCAGGAGGAAGAGCAGGAACTAAGGCTGGGAGGTAGAGAAAGAACTGAGCGCTAGGCAGGCTCACTCTGTCAGGATGCTCAGAAGTACACAGAGCCCTCGCTGTCTCCTCGGCTGTCGAATTTCTGGATCTGCGCCTTGAGGTGCCTTAGTTTGCCCTTCAGGTAACGGCAGCGAGCCTGCTTGTCCAGAAAGCCAGGGTCCTGGGTAGGATGAGAGCGGGGAAGTCCTTGTGGTAGTCTGGCCTATGGCCCTCAAGCTGCTTGGCCGTTTGCTTTTCCTCTCTGAGCCTTGGTTTTCTTTCTGTGAAACTGGGCACTTAAGGGAGTGTCAGGGGTGCAAAGGCCAGGCTGTGGGATTCAGGAGGCCATGACTCACCGTCCGCTTCTTCTCAAATTCTCTCCAGACTCTGGCGGCTACTTGAGCCTCCTTCTGAGGGGAGAAGGAGGAGGGCGACTAAGGGAGTGCTGGACCCAAGGAGAGATGGGGAAACTGAGGCTCAAAGAGACACAGTGACCCCTCTAGGGAGCACTTCAGGGCTGATGTTGGCTCATGTGCGGTGGTGCCCGCCCAGGCTGGAGGAGGAAGAGTTTGGAGATCTAGACCTGATGGGAGTGCTGAGAGCCAGGGTCTGGCCACCTGGAAGGGCTGTGGGGCAAGGGTTTCCACCTGGTTGCTGACCTGGCTTTGGGGTGGGGGCAGTGAGGTCAGCAGGGCTTCCAGCTGCTGGAGCTTAGCCTGTGCAGAGCGCAACTCCTGCTGGAGCTCCAAGAACTCTGAATACTGGTCCTGGAACACAGCCGCGTAGCAACTCCGCTCCCTCTCACTGCTCACTGGTGGGTACTTACTGCTGAGGGGAGGGGAGAGTGTTGAAAGCAGGACAGAGTGTGAGTGTAAAGAATCCCTGCCTCTCCCCCAGTCAGTATAATTTGTTTTTCTTTGCTCATGTTGGGCTCACTGCTCAAAATGTCCTTTCTCTCTTATTCACTTGTCAAAGCCCCAGACTCAGTGCCCCTTCACTGTCCCCAGACACCGGCAACCACACTGGGGACACTCACAGCTCATAGTCGGGCACTGGGTGGGGCCTAGGCATATGCTCCCCAGGGATGGATTCAACAGGCTTCTTGGTGCAGGGGAGGGTCCGGGAGGGCAGTTCATCCTCAAATACAATCTTCTTGGGCCTTGCCCTGGGAGCTCCTGGCTGCGGTTAGCACAGAGAACAGCGGACGCTGGTTTCAAATGAACGAAGCTATGGGGAAGCTGGGATCCTTTAAACGGGGGGTAAGGAATCCTCTGCCTAGGCTCGGCCTGGGGGACCCTCCTCCAGCTCAGACTTACCGGAGGCCCTGGGCCAGGCGGGCGGAACTGCAGGTCCCCCCGGGAGCCGTGGGTGTGGGGGGGCCTCCGGGTGGGCATGGACCTCGG